TCGCAAAACTGTCATCACTTGAACCCTATTACTAAACCATTTCCATCAAGCTACAATTTTTGAACCACCACTATCTAATTATTACAATTTAATTGCCACTGTACAGTCGTCATCATGCCCCAACAGCCTAAATGCCTCTCATCCATTATTGCCTTTGGTAATTCTTCACAACCCTCAAAAAAGGCCATGCAATAAATTCTACTCATGCAATCTCATCTTCCCTAATTGGAGGGAAAGCAAATGGTTATAGCCAATGCTTACATATTAAAGCCATTTTAGTTGGGTTAGAATCCGTGGTTTTTCCCATTCTTGATTTTTCACATAAAAACTCTAATATCTCCTACACTTTCTTATCTTATATGTATATGTGTTAGATCTTTGTTTAAAGTTAAAATACTAAATTCTCTTTAATACTATGAATTTTTTAGCATGCATAGAACTTAAATTTAAGATTTTAAGACATTGAATAAAATCAAATTAAATCAAATTGAACAACATTATACATGATATAGTTTAGATCATCTAGCCAAGGAAAAAATGCGATCTTAATTTTTTGTAACTCATAAAATTTCTTTTCTATTTTGAGTTTTATTAAATTTAACCTATCTAACTTAATAATAACAATTTACGCTGAAAGCTTTAGGGGACTTTAATATCATTTTTCTTAAAGAGAGAACGACTAAAACATGCTAAATAACTCTGTTTAACTAATCAACTTATTTTTAAAAGGGTTGACTAATTCAACCATCTTTAATGACTTCCATAACATGCCTATGCCTCTTCGTTTATCACCTTGGCATCATTCAACCTTTATATCTAAAAAGAAGACTAAAAGAAATCATCTCCTTCTACCTCTCAAGCCTCTTTACATTATTAATATTAAGGATGCTAGCTAATAATCAAATATTATCTACAATCATCACAACTCAATATCAAGCAACCACTTTCTTATATGGAGTTGCCTCCTCCTCCTTTGCATTTAATCCTAGCCACCACTTTTTAGCAAACATCCTCCGCCCTATTGCAATTTATTTTCTATCACTGCTTTGTAACACTTAGCTACATTTTGGCGTGTTGAATGTATCCTAAATATGATTCTCCAACAAATTGAATTTCTTCAGCTCTGAATCCCACAAGTTCTTAATGTTCATACATATTATGCTGCTTTCTACTACACTTGCATTTATATGATTTGTATTAGTCAAAACTATGCAATTTTTCATGGTACTAGAGCATAACAAGGTGTAATTGATCTTCACTTTGAGTTGGCCAAGTTGGACTCTACTTACTCACACACCACCCAAATGGAGGACCCCTTTGTTGATCAAAACCGTTGAACTTCTAATGCCTAATATCAAAATTCTTACCAATACTCCTCCCTCCACCAATAACCAAATCATATGGACCTCACAAATTCTCAAACTATTTAGGGCCAATGCTTTTTGAATGCTTCCTTGATTTTTTTTTTTTTTGAATGCCCTTCTAAATACTCTTTTGATACTATGGGATAACTGATTCCCAAACCAATTTATAATACATGACAACTACTAGATCACAATCTTATTATGGCACTATATTCAACCATTTAAGGTTCCATTCTTCTTCATGAATTCAATCTTGACCTATCCCAAACATGTCAAACACTTGCTAAGTGCCTCCAATCAACAAATAATTCTTGGGTTATTCAACCTAAGAATGAGCCTCATCACATTTCGATGAAAAATAATACTATGACCCAATCTCTCTCGGACATTAAATCCCTTGTTGATCAAATAATTGCCGCGTGCTAGCTCTCACGTTAACAATGAGGATAACATCATATGCAACTTAAATGGTTTAACTCCATCCTACCAAACGTTCAAAACAATGACCCACATGAAGATTGAACCAATTAATCTAAATGACTTATAATAGTTGACGAGCCAATGACTATTCAATCTTGCAATTGGCTTTACACAGTTATCATGGTCATGGGTCGTACACCTCCTCATGCAAACGAGATAGAACAAACACCAATTTTCTCAAGCATGGAGGTACAAATCCAACCTTTAAGGATGAAACTTAACTTTAATACTAATATGTCAAATGTGTAGACATACTGGTCACATTGTTTTAATTTGCAAGCATATAACATATCATAATTATGCCCCTCTCTCCAAACATAACAAAACCACCACTTTTTTATGCTTGATAATAATTCTTTACCATCAATAAAGTGGTTAATGGATTTCAGAAGCCTCATCGCAACTCACATCACATTATGACCAATTACAACATCCAACGACTTACCAAGGATTCAACCAAGTTATTGTTAGTAATGGAATCATAGTCCCCATATTCCATACTGATTATGGTATTCTCCAAACTCCAAATCATAAGTTTATCTTTCCTCATCCTCTTCATGTTCCCAATTTGCCACACAAGATATTATCAGTTTACAACCTTGTTGTTAACAACAATTGTTACACTTCTTTAAAATCCACTAGTTTCCAACTAAATGATTGAAATTCTATTAAAACTCTTCTCTCGGGTATAGCTCTAAAGGTTTCTACTCCATTCCAATCATTTTGGCACTACATTCCACCATTTTCACCACAACTTTCTTTCATCAATGTCTTGGACATCCTCGCCAGCTAATCATCACTTTGGTCTCTAAATAGAACAAGAAACTTATAATACTTTTTGCAATTCTTTCTTGCAATACATGCAACTCCTCAAAGAGTCATACCCTTTGTAAAGTTTGTAGTCATATCTAAAAAACTAATGTTAAGGCCCCTTCTCCTAATCCATCTCAACAAGGCTATAAATATTAAATTTTATTTATTGATGATTGCTCATGATTTTGCTATATTTTTCCAATGATTATGAAATCTAAAACATTAAAAAAATTTGTTCAAGTTCTAAAAATGGTGTAAGCTCATCTAAATGCATTTATCAAAACACACTCGGATGTTGTTGGCGAATATATCTCTTCTTTTATGAACACATTTTATGCAACATTTTTGAATTGATGCACTTCATACAGCTATCTATCATATCCATATGTTACTCTTCAAAACAACAAAATGAAATCTCCTTATCAAAGTCTATATTGACAAAAACTATTTTGTTCACTATTGACAAAACCTATATTATTCACATCTCAGTATTTGACTCTTCTTATTGCCCATGATAAAGACCATGTCCCAACAGTAATATATTTCCACATGCACCCCAAAACTTCATCTACTATTCCACAATTGGCTTTGCAAGGTTATCATGTCCAAACACTTAGTTCTTATTAGGAAAATTTTTCATATCAAAATCCAACATCACCTCATTAACACAAATATTTAACTTACTCCTCACTCTAGCATCACACTCCATGCCCTAGTTTCCGCTGTCAATTAAAAGTGATAATTTATTTTCAAGGCAAGCCAGAGTCACCCACCACCACAACCATCAGCTATTACTATTCATTGTCATCCGTTGTCACCTAATACCAATCACGTACATCACCTGCTGCCACCCATCATCACCTTCCATTGCTTACCATCTGTTGCATGTACTCACAATCATTGTCCGCCACCCTTCACAGCTCGTTATCAGCCACCACTAGTTGCCATCACCCACTACCAGCCACTGTTGTCATTATCAACCACCTCTAATCAACAATCATTTCAAAGACATTACTATTTTACCACACCCCTTCAAACCAAAAAAAAAAAAAAAATCAACTCTTATATTTATAAAGTACTCAACCAAACAATTCAAAAATATTTTTAATATATTTATATTTATTTTACACTTTTTCAGCACAAGAAACAAGCCCTTAGCAACTTCCTCACATCATGCCTGCAACAATCCTTAAATATACAAATAATTCCACAAAACATTTTTCTCATAATCTATTATAATATTTTCATTAATATTTGTTCAAAATGATCAAGGCTCATTACTATTTTCAATTTCTACTAATTTAGATACTTTCAGCCAAATCTCTAAGCGTTTCACACAAAATTTAGGACTTCTAAATTCAAACAAAACTCGTTAATTAGTTTCACTTGAAACAAGATTTTTGAATAAAACAACTTAATTCTTGAAAAAATCAACAAAATTATTAGAAAAAAAAGTTATTAGTAAGTTCTATTAAATTTCACATGTTGTAATTTGATCCCTAATTAACTAATTTTTTATTTTATTTTATATCATTTTACATATAATATATCCTCATACATATAATAATTAAGAAATGCTTTTGATTTTTAATAACAACAATAATGATGAAATAAAAAGACCAAAAAGTTCCAAAACCCGCTAAGTAAAATCACAGAGACCTTACTTCAAGATTCACATTGGAGTGTAAGTGAGTTGAGCCAGCTCTAGCTCGACTAGTTAACGAACTCATGTGTTGAGCATATCAAGCCCATACTCGAGCTCATATATTAAACAAGCTCAAGCTCAACTTGACTCAACTCGTAATTAAGCTCATAGAGCCGCTCGATTAACTTAAAATATATTTAAAAATTAATTTTAATTAACATCATATAATATATATTTTAACCTTTTTTTAAAATGAATTCAAATATTAAAAATAAAAAATACCAAAACTTAATTTAAAACTAAAAAATCAATCTCAACAATCGAGTCTAGCTCGAGCTTTCCAAACGAGCTCAAGCAATTGAGTTGAGCAAGAACCTACAAATGTTTTAGTTGAGCTTGAGCTCGACTAGAGCTCACTAAGAACTAAACAAGTTTATCTCGATTAGACAGATACTCGAATCTTTTACACCCCTATATTCGACTGTTAGTCCAACAATTCAATAACTCAAAAGTCATATTATAATAAAAGCAAATAATTCACCTATTGTATAAGGAATAGAAATTGCATTAGGATATCCAGACATAATTTATTTTATTGAATTTATGTGGAGATTAGTGCATGATACTAATCTCAAAGAAAATTCAATAATTTTCACATTAATATTGATATAATTTATATATTTTTAAAACTTTTTCAATTAAATAATGAAAATTTCAAAAACTAGGATAAAGATATGGAGCACTTGTTAATGTGTTAATGTTGCCCAACAGTAACTTCCTGCCTGCCTTGCATGATTGTTCACATATTTAACATTCTTCCTCACGTACATTATTTACGCACCATTGTAGTAAACTGACCAGAGAACTCCCAAGTGAATATGGAAAGCAGCAAGTGTCTTATTCACCTGTGAAATGCTGATGCATTATGCATTGGGTAAGCCATAGTTGGTGCAAGGCGTACCGGAGCACCGGTGGCGACGACAACTCCGGCGGCAGGACGTATTGCATAAGCCATGGCTGGTGGTCCAGCGACCGGAGTTCCGATGGCCGGAGAAAGTGGCTGACCAATAGCAGAAGAGCCATATATGGCGATTCCAGGAGCAGAAGCTGTGGCAAGAGAAGGTTTTTTTATGGCTTTGTTGGTGATAGGTGATGATGAGAAGTTATTAACTTGGCCAGTGATTGGTCCTTGAGATGTTGAGATATCGCCATTGTTGACGTTGGTGATGTCATGAATGCTTGAGCGTCTTCTATCTTTGTTCATTGAGTTGAGGCGTATGAAATACTTCTGTGCATGGCTTGCCACCTGTGTTGGTGTTCTTGTGACGACGAAGTTTCTTGATATGCTCCGCCAGTCACCTTTGCCGTATTTATCTAACCCGAGAAGAAATAGCCTGTTTTCAACAAATTTCAGGTGTGAAGTTAATGATATATATGGGGGAAGGTGGAAGTAATTGCTACAGAGTCACAAACCAAGAGCCCACTCGGGTATTAAGGTTTCGTTTAGGACAACTTACTTACTGCTTCTTAAAGCAGCTTCTTAGTACAAAAATTAATTTTTTTCTACTAAAAGGTTGCTTTAAAAAGCAGAAAAAAAAAAATCGTCCCAAATGAAGCTTGAGTGCAGTGGAAATGGTACAATGTGTGTTGTTTGGGGGTCTAATAACCAGGGGCAAAGCCCTGTATGATTGAGTAGAAAATTGCGTGCCCTCAAAATTAATTTCTACTTATAAAGGTGTAATTTTGGAGATTTTGCCCATCTTAAAATTCTTTTTGCCATAACAAAAAGTCAATTGCCCAATTTCCCTCCTTTCATGATCCAGTTCACGCACACAACTGCTTAGCAGCCCCTCTCTTCCTTTCTCTTGTTCCCAACATGCATAGATGCCCCTGCTATGGCGCCGCGCCTACTACCTGCACAATGCGATTGCTTTGCTTGCTTCCAACATGCCATGTCGACGCCACCTATGAAGTCTGTCTACGCGCGGAGAAATTATTCCGTGCGGAGTCCGGACGATAAAGAACCTTTAAGATGTGAGTGTACATAGTATGTACACTGAGTATAATTTTGTACACAGTTTGTTTTTTTTATATACAGAGTGTGTACAAACACTGTGCACACTCACATCTGGATACCGGACTCCGGACGGAATAATTTCTCCTACGCACGATGCCACTACTACGCCTGCTGCCTGCCCATCGCCTTTGCTGTGTTTGCCTACCCTCAAAAGAAAAACGGGTTCTGTCCTTGCTAAGAACCACTCTCTCCACATAAATAGCTACAGGCTACTCATACAACCACAATGTTTAAACATGGAGCCATATTCTGAGAATAATCATTTTCAAGCGTTAAGAGATTATAGTTACACGGGAAAAGCTTTAAGGAAAGAAGTAACTCGTGCACCAGTACTGAAGGTACAAAGAATACAAAGGACGAATAACAATATTTTGAGATGCCTAAGATGTACCGTCAATTCTAGGAGTTCATTACCTCAAGTGGAAGAAGATTTCCAGTTAATCAGTCTCATTACATCACCAAACTGGGGAAAAATAACTTAAAAGGACAAATTTACCAACAGAAACTTATGCGTAAGATGGTAATTAAATCTGTTTTCATATCTGTTCTTTCTAATAAAAGTGCAGAAAAAGAAAATCATTTCAGCATCTAAATGCGTTGAAGAGAAACAAAAAGTGAAAAACTCTATTTATACAACCTACATGAGCTCTCAAAGATATCCTAATCAGAATGTTATTAAAGAAGACAAATCAGTGTTGTTCAAGGCATGTTAGGTGCTCCTCAAGGTGCATGAGCAAGGCGATATTACAGTGTGTTCATAGACCTTTCAGGGAGGGGACAGAGTAGACAAAGCACATTAAAGAGTCAAGCAATGAGGTGAACCAATTACTTTGATAAGGGAGATGAGTACTAATATTTTGAATGCAAGAAATGAAATAATTCTTTATAATAAAAATTTGATATGTTGTGGCGTGGAAAGAGCATCAAACGTTGAAAAAAATGAAGTACAAGTGCCAACAATTTAGATCAGATGTTACAAGATCTTCGAGCTCTAAGTAATGACTCTTAAGAAAGATTTGAGAAGATACATAACTTAGGGGCAGTTTGGTAGCAATATTTAGGCTGGATTTGAGTGAAATCCACCCAAATGGCCTAAAAGCAAAACCAAATCTCACAGCAAATGAAAGCCGCTGTAGACGGGAAATTCCGCCTTTTCGCGCTAAATACCGGATTTCCGAAATCCTGTTTTTGGTCGGATTTACGAAATCCGTTGGCTCGAGAGCTCGTTAAATCCGTTCTATAGCTAAACAATCACATGGGATTTAATAAGATTTATCATGAATGTTACCAAACAGTTTTCAAGATTTAGGCCCCTCGGGATTTCTGAAATCCGGATTTAGCAAATTTACAAAATACTACTTAAATCAAATCCTAGGTGCTACCAAACAGCCCCTTAGTGTGATGTATCCTTTCATACTCCTCTGTAGTCATGTTCATAATAAACTTTAGGCTAAATGCTAACTTGCGAAAGCATAGAAAAACGCATTAGCACTGAAAAAAACTTATGGTGATCATACAAAAATACATTTAATATGTTGGAAGTTATGCTTTTCAGCTATTTTTTCTTTTCAAAACACTGACCCATTATAATTTAACTGTAAGAAAAACAATGAAGCAGCAAAACAAAAACGGAACTGGATCAAAAGGAGGTGAAAATATCGTTTGATTGATCCTGATGTTCTTGGAAACACAAGATTCTAGCTTTCCTGATAATTTCACATCCCCTTCAGCAGTTCAGCTCCAAGTTTGGCTACTTTTGGCCTCCTTACATCTCATCTGAAAAATGTGTGAGGAAAAGCTCCAAACTGTAGGTTTAAGTCCTCCATAAGTTCATGACCACGTGTAACTCATTTGCCAAGAAAAAACCTTATTCATGTATGTGAGAATATTAATGATTATTTCGTATCCCTGTCCATGACACTAAGGGGCTGTTTGGTAGCACGATTTAGGCCGGATTTGAGGCGAATTTGAGCGAAATCCAACCAAATGGCCAAAAATGCAAAACCAAATCTCACGGCAAATGAAAGTCACGGTAGACGGAAAATTCCCCCTTTTCATGCTAAATCCTAGATTTCCAAAATCATGTTTTTTGTGGGATTTACGAAATCCATCCTCTCAATAGGAAGAGCCCGCTGTTAAATCCGCTCTATAGCCAAACACTCACACCAGGGAGGGAGGGAGAGAGAGAGAGATAGAGAGAGAGAGTACTTAGGCCTCTTAGAATTTCCGAAATTTGAATTTAGAGGATTTACGAAATCCTACTTAAATCAAATCCGGTGCTACCAAACAGCCTCTAAGTATTATCAACCAAAACCTGCTTAAAATTTTATGTTATTTCATGAAGTACTACCATAAAAAACATGAGCAGAGAGACAGAACCACTTCAAAACCTAGAATAGTGAAAACGGTAGGAAATTAGCCGTTGGATGTACGGATCCATTCAGCAGCTTCCAACTAGTTTCAGGCCATTAAATTATAAATTAACCTATACCCAATTACCTACCACATCAAACTCTAATCCAGAGTATTTAATAAAGAATCTTCTCCATCTAGCACAATCTTTAAACAACATTTAAGAATTCAGTGTTTCACCTGTGTTCCTCCTCAGTCCAGGCAATTCCTTTGCGTCTTTCATGATCCAATCTCGAGCCTTTCCCTCCATGACTGGAATCGCCATTAGAATGCCCACCTTTCTTCCCATTTCCTCCACCGTCATCAGACCCTTCAGCTGCAGAAGAAGAAGGAGATGAATAATTAGGCAGAGGAACTCGCCCTGACTCGATGCTGCCAACGTCTTCAACTAGAAACTCATAGTGGTGTTTGATCTCCTCCAATGTTTTTCCTGGCACAGCGGCCGTAATCTTCTCCCACCAATCGCTGCAAGTCTCATGGTGGATGGCCAAGGCGTTCTCAAACGCCTTCTCTTCTTCCCAATTCCAGGCTTCAGCTACCATCAATCAGTCACTTCCAAATCTCTTAGTGCCCTAGAGGCATCAACTCTTCAAGAAAATCTCTTTGGGATTGGATCTGAACAGATTCACGAGACGAATAATTGGGGACGGGAGATCCCGGGCAAAAGGAAAGAAGTATGGCACTTGGGCACGGAGAGTGGCAGATGTGACAGAAGGAAAGGAAAGGGGGAGAGCCGCAGAGAGACACGAAGATACAAGTAAAAAAAAAAAAACTTCTTTCCAAAACGCTCTGAGGAATGACAAAAAAAAAGGGGGAAAAGAAGAGAAAACCAGCCTATGGTCACCCACTTGTGCAAACAAAAATGGAGCTTTCTCCAAATTCATTAAAAGCCAAAATGCCCATAATTCAATAATGCAGAGGGCAAACCGATCCTTCCAAGCAGGTATAAAAAATTGATTCTGGAAGAATGTACAAAATACAACCCTCTCTCTGCTCATCTTTTCAAAAATTCAATTATTTCTCTTACCATGGCTGTAAAAATCTCTCGTTATAACCGCAACAGTAGGGTAAAATTCTTCTTTTGGGAAAGTTGCTAATTGAATTACATCAGAGTAACAAATTAAACAGATGGGCAAAACCTAGCTGAAAAATAATCCAAGAATCAAAAGGAGACACTCACAGAAACTTGTCGGATCTGCTGTCTTCTATCCAGTGAAATAGTGGAGATCCACTAATCAACAAGAGTTTCTCCGGGTCCAGACACCAAATCCCACTGATTGAAATCCATTAGAAAATTAAAACTTAAATCTTTCGGCTCTCGATTTCGCTTTCTCCGTCTCGCCCGCTAGCCGGTGAAGCAAGAATTGGCCAGCGATGTCTACCCTTGGTGAATTCCGACGAGCAATGGGCGGCCGGAGGGCTCATGACAGTCAGCGTCGTTATATTTGAGCGGGCAATTCAAGCAACTATAATATTTTTAAGTACATAACACATAAATATCATTATTTAAATTCATTAGCATTTCATTGATGAAAGTTATTAGGCTTTATCATGTTAGGATCTTGATGGAGGAAGAGAAGCTCTTATTAAGCTTCTTGGAAGAGAAGGAGAGAGATGGAGAGAAGAAAAGTGAACATAACTCTATTATCAAGGCATGCTTCTATTACAACCTATTATATTTATTTATAGGCAAAATAAGCTATCTCAATGGCAATACAAGCTAAAGAAGCCTAAATAAAGTACATAGAGAGAAACAACTTAAAATCTGTATCGATTATCCTACAATCTCCACATTGATTTAGATTTACAAAACATATGATTCAGTCCAATCGTCTCACAAATATGCTGCTACGACTAAGATGACATCTGAATTGAGTCTATCTCCTTGCATTTTCAACAAATTAGGACAATTTTTCTTAAAGTGCCCATCCTTGTGGCAAACGAAACATTTCTTGTTGGACTTATTCCTCCTGAGTTATGATCTTTCTCTTACGATCAGAATGCTACCAATATTTTATTCTTAATGTTTGGATTTTCTCTGAACATCCTTTGACATTAAGACAGATTTTACCTCTGTCATTGTCAATGTTTGCTTCCCATACAATATGGTGTCAACTATGTTCTCATATGTCTTCAACAGAGAGCTGAGGAATATGATTCATTGATATTCTTTGTCTATTGTAACATCAACATTTTTTTAGGTCAAGAATCAATTTATTAAAATCATCCAAATGCTTTATAAGTTCCTTTGTTTCTTTCATTTGGAGTGTGTATAATTGTTTCTTAAAAAATAGATGATTAGTAAGCGTACTTTTCATATAAATTGATTAAAGCTTCCTCCATACCTCTAATGAAGAGGCTTCTTCAGCAACCTCCCTCAACACTTCGTCACCGAGTGAGAGAAGGATGATATTGTGCGCCTTCAGTTGCATTTCCCTAGCCTATACCCTATTAGTGAATGCAGCAAAATTTTCTTCTGAAATTGCATCGACAAGACCTTGATGAACCAGTAAAGCCTTTAACTTTATCTGCCATAGGCTGAAATCATTCTCCCCCCTGAACTTATCGATTTCAAACCTTTGCATTGACATGATCAAAAAACCAAAACTTGATCTATGCCTCAACGACACCAATATGATCCTATTCACAAGATTTCACCGAAAATAATAAAAAAATTTCGCTTACTGTTTGTGTATAACTATAGTAACCTGAGCATATACGCATAACTTTGTCCTTCTCTTTGTGACCTGCTTCAATTTCTTGATAGAAGAATACACGTCTGCTACGCCCAAGTGCGGTCCTATGGCTCGACTCCACCTGTAATGTCCAACCTCCCGGTAAACACACCACTACGAATCTTCCTGTCACCCTGTTGGCCTTTCGCCTCCGCCCCTTTGTGCAAGACCTGTGACACCAAACTTGCCTCCGCACACTCCTAGACAGTGACTCCACCTACTTCAGCCTGTGGATAATCTGTGCGCTCAAACCCATGCAACCTGCATCCGCCCTATTCATCTTGCATGCATATGCCTGCACCTTGCCTCCGCATCAAGCTCTGCATGCTCTATACCCTGCTTCCTCCCTACGCGGCCATGCCTTGCACGCCCAGCTCGTGCTCGCCTTGAGCTTCCGCGATCCGTATGGACTTCTCCTTGATCTTCTAAGCCAAAACCCAACTCGCGTACGTGACTGATTCCTGAGCAGCCTCCGCCCCGTTTGACCTGCAGCTTGTGCGACAGCTTGCTCTAGCCTATTCACTCTACATGTAGCTCGCACAATCGCGAATGACCTGCCTCGCTACCGCTTGCTCCAGCCGCTCGCTTAATTAGCAACCTATCCCCTCTTGCGAGCCTTCCATTCGTAGACCCAGACAACTAGCTTGATTTGATTTCTTCATCAAGAAACTTCCTCCACCTCCGAGCTTTGATACCAACTGTTAGGATATTGATGGAGGAAGAGAAGCTCTTATTAAGCTTCTTGGAAAAGAGGGAGAGTGATGGAGAGAAAAAAAGTGAACATAATTCTATTATCAAGGCATGCCTCTATTACAACATATTACATTTATTTATAGATAGAATATGCTATATTAATGAAAATACAAGCTAAAGAAACCTGAAGAAAGTACATAAAGAGAAACAACCTAAAGTATGGACCAATTATCCAACATATGAGAGAGATAAAGTATGGACCAATTATACAATTAACAACATAATATTAAGTTAAGTGTTGTAGAGATGAGGATGCTCAAGTGGATGAGTGGCTTTACTCTTAAAGACATGATATGAAATGAGTATATATGTGAAAAGATTGGAGTAGCTCCAATGGAACATAATATTAGAGAGCTCTGCCTTGGATGATTTAGTCACATAAAATGACGACTTCCAATGACCTGATTAGGAAAGTACATGTATTAGATTTAGTTTATTTTAAGAATGGCAGAGGTAGACCTAAAAAGACTTGGTTCAAAAATATTAGATAGAACCTTTATTTTTTAGCTTTAAATAAGAATTTGACTCTTAATGGGACACAATGAAGAAAAAAGATTCATGTAGCCCACCCCATGTAGTGGGATAAAGGCATGTTATTGTTGTTGTTGTTGTTAAAGCATCTTTTTAGTAAAAAAAAAATTTTGAACTAAAAATTTTTGTACTAAAAAATTACTTTAAAAAACAGTAAGAAAGTTACTATAAACAAAGCCTAAGTGTGAGAAAATTCATTGATCATCCAATGAAGCTAAGATATTAAGATAGAGGTGAAAAAAAAAAGGATAGAGGTGCAAAAATAAAATGAGATTTCTAGTGAGTGGAGAGAATCCAAACACTAGCTTTCAAGGGTATAAGGTTTCTTGAGGGAATATGGCTTGCCCAAGCCATGAATTTCTTGGTGTATTTGGCCCACCTGGAGAAGAGAATGTTATAGATTGATTTGGCCCAAATGAAGTATAGGATGCTTATCCTAAGTAAATATATACAGTAGAAGAGGTGGAATGTCTTATAGTTTTGACCCATTATATCTATTGAGTGAATAAATAAATGTGGCCAACCAAAAACACTCACGGTGTCTTTATCCAAATGAAATTCATTTACTTAGATGATTTCTTGGTCAAATATAGGTATGTTTAAGTGAAAATGAGCAATTGCCCCCCCTAAGGTGGTAGTGGTTTTGCCCCTGCTCAAAACCCATATATTTGAAATACTTTACATTCCTTTAACTTAAAACCAAACAACCCTTAAATGAATGTGGTTTAACTAGACCAAATAGAATGCTTAGATAAGTTGGGCTTGCTCTAGTTCATTGTAGGATAAAGGGATTTTAGAGTTGAATTAATAGCATAGAATATTATACATGTATGAGGCCACTTTATGATGTATTTAAAATTTAATAAAAAATTAAAAAAGATTTGAAACATAAAAAATAAATTACAGAGTAAATTAACTTCATCAAATTTTTATCATATAATTTTTTTTTTCATCAAATAAAATACTAAAACTTTTAAAACCAAATAAAAATTTGCATAAAATTTTGAAAGTCCAAGTATAGGTAAATTATTGCATCCAGGTGACCGGATGCAATAATTTGCCCCAATTTTATGCATCTCTTTGAGATCCAAAGAAACGCAAATGGTACTTCACTTGTTGGAGAGATTCCCAATTCATCGTTGATTTGGTCGCCGCATCCCGTAGATTTGTTAGGGTTTCTCTTACAAAGCGCTAACCAGCGCTTCTAATGTAAACCCTCCCTTCTCTTTTTTCCAAGATCGATTTCTGTCAGCTTCGGTCGTACTAAACATGGCGAAGCGGGAGAACGAGGGAGATGATTCCAGCTCTGGCATCAACGCCGCCCTGACGGATGACGTCCTCCGTGTGGTGCTTTCCAAGCTAGAGAGAGAGGATGAGAGGGACGCGTTCGGCCTCGTCTGTATGCGCTGGCTCCAAATTCAGAACTCGGAGCGCCGACGCCTCCGGGCAAGGGCCGGTTCGGCAATGCTCCAGCGGATGGCCGACCGATTCTCCGGTCTCATGGAACTCGACATGTCACAATCAGTGTCCCGCTCTTTCTTTCCTGGGGTGGCCGATTCAGATCTCTCTGTTATTGCCGCCGGCTTCCCTCTGCTGCGCATTCTAAATTTAAGCAACTGTAAAGGTTGGTCTTTTCAATAGGAGTTAAAAAAATGTTTTTTTTTTATTTTGTTATTTAATGGTGGAATTTGCGTGAAGAGTGACAGCTTTGATCGGAGAGTAGTGGTTGCATACTTGCATTTGGTTGTGATTTTTTTTTTTTTTTTTTGCGCAAATAACTTCTGGTTGGAAGTTATTGATATTTCTGGGTCTGAATTCTTCTAGTCTGTGCCTAAATCTAGTAATTCAGTGTTGCTTCTTTAACACGATGACCTTCAGAGGGGAAATTGCAATCTTTTTATGTCTTTTTTACCGCTTTCTTAAAAAAAATAAAAAGGTTTTTTTTGCCTGTTTTTTCGGGACATTTAAGCAAATTAAGTCAAACTCACACACACATCACAAACTCAAGACTAGAACCCAAGACCTCTTTGGTTGATAGTCAAAAGCTGCCAACCAACATACCAAGGTGAGCTACGTTTTTTTTATATTTTATATTTTATATTTTATTTTTTTTGCCTGTGAGTACTTCATATGGGGACCAATCATGCATGGCATAATTATGATTTACCTTCCCAATGATTGATTAGGCGTGCAAACATTTTATAATTATACTATCATGGATAAACTTCCCTAGTTTAAGGCATGATTTTATTTAGAGGCGGAACCGGCCTCTTTTTTGAGGGTGGGCAAAATATGATTGCGAAATGTATAATTTTATGTATAAAATAGGAAAAAAAAATCTTAGAACTTTGGCTATTGCATTTATTGAAGGTGGTCAAAATAGTTAAAAATATTTATTTTTCTACAACAACAACATCAAGCCTTTATCCCACCAAGTGGGTCAGCTGCATTAATCCTTTTTCTCTATTATGTCATGTTAAGAGTCTAATTCTTATTTAAATATAATAAAGATAGGTCATTTCTAATATTTTCTAACCAAGAATTTTTAGGTATAATTCTATCTTTCTTAAAATAGGCCAAATTTAGTACATATACTCTCCTAATAGGGTCATCGGAAGGCTGCCGTTTTACACGACCAAATCATCTAAGGCGGTTCTCTTTAATCTTATCTATCACTGGAGCTACTCCAATCTTTTCATGGATATGCTCGTTTTGTATCTTGTCTCTAAGAGTAAATCCACTCATCCACCTAAACATCCTCATCTCATCAACACTTAACTTAATATTATGCTTCTGTTTTAATGACCAACATTATGCCCCATAAAGCATTGCAGGTCTCACCACCATCTTATAAAATTTAATCTTAAGTTTGAGTGGTACTTTTCTATCGCACAATATACCTAAATCATTCCTCCACTTCAATCGTCCAACTTGAATTCTACTAATAATATCCCCATCTATTTCACCATCACTTTGAACAATAGTTCTAAGATATCTAAAACGTGTACTCTTATTAATGACTTGATTGCCCAAAGTCACAATTGCCCCCCACTAGATCTATTATTACTAAAATTACTCTCCATGTATTCGATTTTAGATATACTCAAACGAAAACCATTAGACTCTAAGGTTGACTTCCATAAGTCGAGTTTACCTTCAACGCCCTCTCTAGTATTATCAACAAGAAGAATGTCATCAGCAAAAAGCCAAAAAGCATACACCATGGTACATTCTCTTGTAAATGTCTAGTAAGAACATCCATGACTAAAGAGAAAAGATAAGGGCTTAAGACTTATCCTTGATGTAATCCAACTGAAATAGGAAAATACTTGGTCAAACCACCTTGTGTTTGAACAAAAGTAACAACATCTTCATACATATCCATCATTACTTGAATATAAGCATTATTAACCCTTTTCTTTTATAGGACTTTCCATAGCACTTTTCTTGAAATTTTATCATATGCTTTATCTAAATCAATAAATATCATATGTAGATCTTTT